GGGGAGTCGTATTATGGGTAATAAGGTCCAAAGCTGGAAAATGGGGTCGTATTTTGGAAGCTGGATGGATTGTGGTGGAGGGAAGGGAGGAATGGGCTTCATTCAGTGACCAGTCGTCTTTCGACTGGTCACTGAATGAAGTATCATACTATAGAAACAGACTGAAACAGCCATGATAGTGAGGGCAGTGGTCGAGGGAGGGTCCTATCATGAGACCCCACCAAGGTCGATGGTGGTGTTAAGCGGTTTATCGAGGCTCTTCTTAAGAAGGGGGTCGTATATATCGTTGGAACAACGAGCGGTTGACCTTGGCGTATACGGGCTGTCTGCCGCAAAAATTTATTTTTTCAGGCAGTCATCATGCAGACGGATCACTCGTGTAACGGCACAGCTAGAAGCCGAATTATCAGGCGAATGCACTTGACGAACAGCAGTCACAACTTGTGAAAATAGCATATGTAACGTATGCAACCTTCACATGGAACCGTCCGCTGCATAAGGGTTGTCTTGCCTCTGTTATGCACCATGGATCTACATATATGACGAGTTTGGACCCATTGTTATGCTTTATCACTTTGTATTTTTCGCGCGGATTTCGCGTTCGAAATTTTCAGAAGGGACGTTAGAGCGAATTTTATTCATTGAGCAGATCTATGAGAAGAGATATATAAATGCTTGAAACACGGTTGAAAATCATAATACATACATTGGACTCAGTTGCGTCAGCTCCAACCATCAAAGTGGTAGAAATCCGACGTCACCTACAAGTTAAAATGGTCGGCCTAAAATCTGATCAGCAACACAACTTTGCAGTTTTGAGTAGCCCTCAATTACCGGCGGTGACTCGAAAGACAAGAGTATATACGAGAAACTGCTTATCATTTTGTCGCCAATATTGCGAGTAAATCCAAAGACGGTTGCATACAACGCTTGAGATCATATTTTTGTGGTTCGTCCTTCAAGGCCAACTAGAGAGGAACGATCTACCTCCAACGCAACCTGTGGAGAGATGGCCACACCAATGGAAACGAGCACCAGGGAACGAGTCAACGAGGCTGGTTGTCTGCTTTGCAACTCATTGTCAAAGTTGAGCAACCGTCGAGGAATTCTCAGCTGAGTCGTGGGTAGACTGTGGAGAGGAAGTGATAGGAGAACTGAACAGAAGCGTCATGTGGGGAAGGGGGAAGCTCGCTCTGTAGAATGCAGTTATGTGTGCAGAAGCAAAAAATTCGTGGGTATTGGTAAAATTCGATCTGAGTTGATGGAGACCCTGTTTTTTAACCTAAGGAAGTATGCGGTTTCAAAGAGTTCAAAGCCGATGTAATAACTGCTTTCTCGAAGGCTGCCGTCAAAATACAGTGGGGCGGAATGAAAGGAAATTCTCTTGAAAACTCGCGTACTTTGTGAGCTGACTGATGAGATAAAAGAAGCATAAGGAAAGATCAAGACAAGCAACAAAAACAAACTATGAGATCATACAAGTGCGTTCGCAGTTCGGAGTAGGAATCGAGTGCATCCCAGTGCAACCACTAGAAACGGAAATGTTAGACTTTGAGCGTTCTATATTTCTACCATTGGGACGCGTGATTGTTTCAGAGGCCGACCACAGATCAATTTTCTGGCGTGCCCTGAATTTTGCGCTTGATCATTTCACACAGTAAGACCAGTGGAAACGGGCCCAAAAAAATCAAGAATTTGTCCGTACTTCCTTTACCTTTTAGAAAAACCGTATGTCGTCAAGAGGGTTTCTGAAAACCTACTTCCCTTTTCTAAGGATGTAACACATGGTGAGCCAGGAAAGGCTCGACTGCGACCGGCAATCAAAGACAAACTTTTTCAAAACGCATTCGACTCGGAATGTTGACCGGCTCGAGTCTCAAGTTGTTCACTATCCAAGTGCTTCGACACCAAATTTTCGACAAAGTCAAGGGACTGACTCTGTGAAAACACTGCCTTTTCTTTGTCAAATAATTTATTGGAACCTTCATTAACTGGCCTGACGTCGACCTTGCCGTCTTTTTCAGAGCTGTGAAGATAATTCGAAGCTTTTAATTCCGTAAGCTATCCCTCCGCCTCTAAGCGTTTCCGACGACCTAGTGGGAAGCACCACGGAGTCACCCAGTACGATTAGAGCACTCACCAAGGCTCACTGGTACTTTGGCGAGTTTTACCTCACGCTGCTTGAGTTTATTAATTTTCGGCGACGGGGTCAGGCCAGCATACTGCCACATTGTTGCCGAACATAGAGCTGCTTTTAAGCTACCGACTACATCATATGCCGGAACAAAGATATGCTTTCGAAGCCTTTACGGCCCAGTTTACAACTAAGGCGTTTTTGAGTCAGAATAACTAATATTACGTATGAAAAAATATGTTTGGCCACATGTACATTTTTGAGCACTCCTTTCTACTTCTTGTGGGGGAATATAAAATGGTTGATTCGTTGATCGGAACACCGATGGTCGAGGCTGCTTTATGGCGTCGGCGCTATTTGAATTCGCTTTGTGTTGATCATTAAGAATGCAGGAATGACTGAATGGCAATGTCGCTATGCATCGTCAAACTAATTAGCCTTTAAATGACCGGTTCCGAACGAATTTTTTCTCAGTCAATTTGTGTAAAATTTGGCGATTTCAGCTAACGATTATCAGCGATAACAAAGATAACTCTCCTATTAAGAAGCAATCTTGAGAGCATTCCGCCGCATTTATAGTATGGGCTAAAGCTGTTGTAACGCTGTCTAAAAAGTACATGTTTTCGATGTTTCAGGGGTAATTAGGCCCTTCCATTTGAGCGACATTTGAGCGAATTTCCTTGAGGAAAGCATGTTTTTGTTGTAATTGGTGAGGCCTCCCTCAATTCGATACGAATTCCAGGGTACCCTTCGCAAAAAATACGCATTTATTCTGACAATGCTCCTGCTTCCTTCAGATTCCAGGATCAATAGAAATTTTTTGTATGAACGGTTCACTTCAACGACGCTGTCAACTTAAAGTTGGAGTTTACGATTAGAGGGCAGCCCATTGGAACTGAGGTAGAGGTGGTCAGTCGTGTCCGGATGAAGAAAACCATGAGAAACGGCCGAGAACCCGAGAAATAGGTCTCCTCTCCCTCGTTTTCCGTCTTGATGCAACTCTCGTCGCTGTTTTTTTAGAGCAGTTCTTTGCATATTACACAGGGGGGGGCCAAAAGAGTCACTTTGCCCATGGCGCACATCATCAAATTTTTCTTCACAGGATGCCGTTGTTGATGAATGTTTTACGGCAGAATATTCCTTAGGTGTCCCCCGTAAGCAGAAGCAGGCCCTCCTTCACTGCCCCCACCGTCTTCAGAATATGACGTCATCTGCCGTCACCGTCGAGCTCAACGAGGCTTACCGTAATCGCTCCGGCCTGAAGCTGCTACATAATTTCTTCAATGATTAACTGGTGAATAGCTTCTGAGACACTAGCTGTGACTGTGCAAGACCGCTTTTGACCAGCGTTTCAGGGACGTCGTAATGGTCTATGGTACCTCGACGACCTCG